AAAAGCACAACAATAATTTTGGTCACAATATGAGGTCTCCTATGAGGTCAGACCAGATATCTTTGTAGCCAGCATCTTGGGTTTGGTGTTGAGCAGGAAGGTAGGCTAAGGAAGAGAGTACAGGGCAATGCAGTGATTTTTCGCTTGCACAAACCATCCAATGCCTTGGTGTTTAACCATTTGGGAGAAGACACGATCTTGAACCATGGAATCATAGAATGGTTAGAGTTGGAAGGGACCTTACAGATCACCTAGTTCCAACCCCCCTGCTATGGGCAGGGACACCTCCCACTAGACCAGGTTGCTCCAAGCCCCATCCAACCTGTCCTATTTTGGGGGAGGGGGATAAATCAGCTTGGAAGCATCTGATTCAATGCTAGTTGAACCAGCTGATGGGAAAGCTGGGGAAGAATTGGGAAGTTTATGGAGGCTTTGAGGATTTTGCCTCTTGCAGCCAGCAGGCTGGAAAACTGGCAGGGTCTCATTCAATCCTGGCCCAAATTTCAACATGGTTCCGTAGAAATAGCAGCATCTCAGCAGACCTTTGGGATTGCATCAAGGTTCTGCCAGAGAAGGTGTGAACAGCTGTAATTATAACATCAAAAATATGAGGTCTTTACAAGACACTTCTCGGTGGTGTCAGCCCATGTGGTGTGAACAGGTGGAGTGTATTGGCAAGGAAAAGAGGGGCCCAGCTCACAAGCACGGGTTTTTTAAGTGGTAGATGATCGACATATTAAATACACATATTCTAATTGCCTCCCTGTTGTCCAGCTCTGAGGAAAATCAGCCCAAAATACATTCAGCTTTGCCTGGAATTTCTAGAGTCTGCAATGTATCTGCTCAGTTCTTTGTCCTGAAAAAAGCTGACTTTTTCATATAAAAACATTACTTTCTTCCCCCTGTTTTTCAACTGGTGAAACTTTTTTCATAAATTTGAGTACTTTGTGTTTAGTTTTTGGCCTGGTGATTTGTTTTATCTCCAAATTTTCACAGAAGTTTTCATCTAACCTTGAGAAAATTAGTTTCTTTCCAAGATCCTACCCAATGCTGGTAGGAAAAGCCACTTTCTCATGCATGACTAGGCTGACAGTAACTTGGTTTACCCCTGTGAGTGAGGAGCTATTGCCAGCCATGTCTGCACCTTTATGTATACAGATGCATTTTTATATATGTGTATAAATATATTCATACACTTTGTACCAAGTAGATGGGCACACAAAGCTCAGCATCCCAAATGAGCAGTTTAACATGCAGTCGAAAAATGCTGACTGGGCAAAGATTAGAACAAAAAATAAATCATGAGACCAGGGACCGGGCTGAATTATTTGACAGCTGTAAGAAAAGCTGCGATCTCCAGAAGATAGACCAGAGAACAAAATTAAACCTGAAGTTGCTTTAATCTGCAACAAATTGGGTTTGCTAGTCCCCAGATGGTGCAAATAGCAATGTTAATACCTCCTTTGGTCACCAACTAGCATGGAGTGATACTGCATTAGCTGTTCCTCATGGGAGTAGACATAGTGAGGGGCACGTGCGCTGCTTGCTTTCCCACTGGCGGGGGTGCCACGATGGGACCACAACACTCAGTGGGTGATGTGGTGGAGAAAGGCCAAGACCTTTGGCTCCCATCTATCCCATGAACCTAAAATATATGATGAGCATGGATGAGTACCCAGACTAGGCTGGGCTCAGCGGCATGAAAATGTGAGACAAGAATCAGCTGCAGGAATTGCACGGTGTCAAACCTTTCTCTTGGCAAGGACCAACCTAGTTCAATGGGCATGCAGTGGGGTTAGGTCATGTAATATGCGTTGAGGAGCCTTCTCCACGTGCAGCCATTTGCTCAGGTAGCTGCTCTAAATAGGGGTAAAGCCACACTGTCCTGCAGCATTAATTATTCTGGTACTCATCCTCCTGGAAGCCCTGGGAAGAAGGTTTTTTGCTCTTCTGTAAATGGTGTTAAATTGTGTATTTATATGTATGCAAGTGCTTTCAAATGCAAAGAAAACAAAATCTGAAAATCTCTGCAGAAAAATGCTCTGGAGGGCTTCCAGCTGGTTTGAGGATTTTAAAAGCCTGTTACAGGATGTACCTTCAAAAGATCAATTTAAATGCTGCCTGCTTTATACTCATTGTTTATAAAGTTGAAAGCATCTCTGATAGTGACTATTCATTCTCACAGCAGTTGCATGTGGAACAGAAGCAGGTTGGTTTAACTCCATCCCTGCCACATCCTGGAGAGGCAGAGAGAGCAGGTGACTCTGCAGAGAGGAGGTCAGCACAGGCACTGAGGGACAAGAAATTGAGTTCTTGCAGTAATCAAGTCTTTTGCCACCCGGTAGGATTGAGTCGACTAGGGAACCATGTTATTTTGTGTGCAGGATACACATCAGTGTATGTCTAACTGTGTGTTGTACATCGAGTTGCACAGTTCTGCCTGCTGTAGGAGCATCGTTTTGTCCTCCTGCAGAGAGGTTTGTCATGTTCCCTCTGTTACAGTGGAGAAGGCCCCTGAAAGATGATCTAGAACTAGGGAATGGCTGACATATGAATGTCCTCAAGACAAGTAGTGCCAACTATCATGGGGCAGTGTCCATCACTGAGTGCAAGAAATGCTTTTACAGTCCTCCTTGAGCTCTGTGGTTGTAAAAATTACCCCCAAACTCTGCCGTAAGACCAGAGCACTGGAAAAGGCTGCCCAGAGAGGCTGTGGAATCTCCTTCTCTGGAGATATTCATAACCTGGCTCAATGCATTCCTGTCCAACCCGCTGTAGATGAACTTGCTTTAGCAGGCGGGTTGGAACAGATGGTCTCCGAAGGTCCCCTCCAACCCCTACCATTCTGTGATTCTGTGTGATTCTGTTCTGTTGTGTGAGTTTGGAACCGTGATCAGAAGATGGACTTGAACATTTGCTACCTGAGGATGCTCTTACGGTGAAAGTGAGGGGCTCTTCCCAAGCCTCCTTCAGAGATGTGTAGGTCTCAGCACTGAGGAACAGCGTTCATGTTTGTTCGCTTGGCATCCCTGAGCTAGGACCATCACAGGAGATAAGGGCATGATAAAGTCATGCCATCCCAGCTGCCATGTCTTGAGAAATGCCCACTTAATGCACTCTCACCTGCTGCAGGTGCTGACAGACTTCAGAGCCTGGCAGTAGCAGACAGGAGCCATCAGGTAACTTTCCCAGGACAAGAGGAAGTGTAGGTCAGAGCCTGTCTGCAGACACATCCTCCATGTTGTTCTAACCCTTTAACCTCTAGCACACTGATGAATTTTCAGTGGTTTCAAGCATGGGTTTTGCTGCTTCCCATTTTTAACGTGTTCTACGTCTCTGTAGATGTCAGGCCTAGGAAGCTGTCTCCAATAAATTGTTACAGCTTGCACTGCTTGATTGTATCTTGCTACTCATAATGAGGTACTTAAGGCTGATGTCAAGCAATTTTTCTCCATGGGCCATTCCAGACAACTGACCTTTATAAGAAGTAAGGGGAAATTCAAAGTCTTAGAGCAGAAAAGTCAGAGTGATGCCATCTTTCTTTTCAATAGTGTTTATATACCACTCCATAGAACCTGGTAGACCATGAACTTCAGTATTAATCATGTCTAAGTCAAATTTGAAGTCCTCAGCTTCATAGCTTTAGGCAGTTGAGCAACGGAGTTCATATAAAGATCTTTGGTTGCCAACTAATCTGAGAGATGGTCCACCTTTTCTTTCCTCAGATGGCAGAAGGACATTGCCAAAGTCCCAGGTTTTAAGTTAGAGCCCCCAGTTCAATTAAGTAGGCGCATCAGATGGTTGCTCAAATCCGTAAGCAAGCAGAACATGACTGCTTGTTCCGCTGAATAAATATGGACTTCAAGTTATGCTTAAAGATGTGTGATAAGGTGTAGCCAAACTCAGTGGAAACACAGGGTTCTTTTTCCTTCTCAGTCTAGTGAAGCTGAATTTGGACCATTCAAAGACCCATGAGGTTTCTTCTGTCCCAGTGTGATACATATGGCTACTGGTCTGTTGTTGGCTAAACCTCGGCACCTCCCTATGATCCTTCACAAAGAACATCTGTTCAAGTGTTTTCCTGGATGGGCTCCTGAGCTCATATTGCTTCCAAGATTTATGCATTTCTGTACGAAATCGCCCATCTCCAGTTGGCCTTCTTACTTGCTTAAACTGACTTACGTGCACAGACCTCTACAGACGCAAGACCTTCAAACTCAAAACCCACACCCGTTTGATTTCTTGGCAGAATTTGTATTCGTTCCCTGGGAGGCCAGATCTGGCCCTGTGCTTGTCGGATGACAGGTGGGGTTTCCAGCCAGACATCCATTTAAATAAGACTACTGTAATTAAAAGGATCTGGCTAAGGAAATTGCACAAATTAGAGCAGACAGCTGTTATCTGAAAGGAACAAACACTTGTTGTTTTAAATAGCCAGCTCTTGGCTTGCTGCCAGAGATGCTTACATTAGATATTATGGATAAAAATCTTCCTTTAACTGTTAAAAATATAAGTGAAAAGAACTCTATTCCCCCCCCAAAAAAAAAATCAGCAATACACAACAAATAGAAGATATTAATAAATTTTAATGTAGCATAGAGATGACTAACTTCCAATGAGTACAGAACAGAGAGGGGCTTTTGAGAAAAAAAAATAAAAATACTGCATCCGTTCTATTTTATCCATGCATTTATGTGCAAAAGCTGAGAATCCTGAAACAGAAGTTTAAACCGGAAGCATAACTCATTGCACAGATACTCTTCTTCCAGAAAAAGGCACTCGTCCTGCTTTGTAGGTGCAATTCAATGTGGAAGGGATTGGTCTGTAGGGGACTGATGGTGAAGCTATGGCTCGTGTAGCAGCAAGGGTATCAATGTGGCATACGTCAAGGATTGGAAAGGAAACCTTGGGGATCAGTTCTGCTCTTTATTCAATACAGAGATTCCCCCTGTCCTTCCTATGTACCAGGAGAAGTGCTTCCCACTGCCCTGGTAGAACGACTGACGGTTGCATGCAACTGGGGACAAGGACTGGATCTTTTTCCAAGCTGATCTGACACACAAGCACCCAATGGGTATCCAGAAGTATGATTAATTCACGGATCTTCCCACTAGCAAGTTATATCTTGCCTCGTTCAATAGAGCAGCTTTCACGCTGAAGATCGAGCATGTGCTTCAAAGAGATTGCTGCATCTGGCCAGTGTCTCTGATAACTTGAAAAAGTCAGACCCGTGTCCTCCACAAAAGATGTGGAGGAATGCAGGTAACACCAGCTTGAGATGACCCCACTGGATGGATAACACACTGGGCTGGGAACCAGAGGAGACCTGGGATTTACTTCTGCTTCTTCCACTAGTCCCCCAGGAAGCTTGTCCATCTGTCCTTCTGTTACACAGGCACTGTAGTTACTCATCCCCTTCTAGTGAGCCTTGAGGTCTGATGGTAAAGATCCATGGCACCAGCTGGTTATTAAGTGGATTTGCGATGTTTGGTAATGCTGTTTATACAATTCAGAGCAGAAAGGGTGAGTACAGGCTTAGAGAACAAAGAGGAGAAATGAGGAATCTGAAAAAGAAACTGCTTTCTTTCCAAAACCCTTGCTGTAATCTTTTTAATCTTTTCCTTCCTCTTTTTGACTGCTTTCTGTGTGGTTTCTTTTTTTTTTTTTTAACTTTTATCTCACCCTTCCCCACCCCTTATTGTTATCTTGTCTCATTCTCTAGGAAAACCTCTTTTTTGTGATGGAATACCTCAATGGAGGAGACCTAATGTTCCATATCCAGAGCTGTCATAAGTTCGACCTTCCCAGAGCAACGTAAGATGTTATTATTACCTTTTGGCTTGCAGGTTGCACACATGGTAGAAGCAAAGGCAGCAGCTGCAGACACCAGGGATCCTGATTTTATTCCCAGCTCTGCTACTGTCCTGTAGAGGGCAAAACATTTGACCTCTCTGGTGCTTACCCAGCTGCAAAGTAGGGATAATGCTTGTGCTGGAAGCTCTATCCCAGCTCTCTCCAAACAGAACAAAAAAGGCAGGACATCACCCCGGCTCAATGATGGACTTGGAGGAAGTCACTTCCTCTCCCTGTTGTCTTTCCCTTCCAACAGAAGACTTTTTTGAGCCCATCCACACAGTTGATTTCAGGCAGACATGACCTTGCTTTGCATTCTTGGTCAGCCAGGGAAGCTATTTCTGTCTGGGAGCATTACAGATGCTGCTATACACTCGTCAGCATTGCATCTGCCTGCAGGCTTCTCCTTTAGCCTGCAAACCAGGGACCTCCTTCTAGCCTGGGACCTGGCTCCTGTATTTCGCTTTAACGTCAGCATAATCCCACAAATGTTTGTTCAGAGCTGAGAGCTGAGCTGGATAGAAGCTTAGATTTCTTGCTGGATCAGTCTCCTTCCCAGGACTGTAGACTCTCAAACAGAGAGGAGCTCCAGAATGACCATTCAATCCACCTGAGATCCAACAGCTCCAAGCATGCCCAAGACCTTATTTACATGGCCCATGGATGAGGGTCATTTTAAAGCAACCTACAGGTGTCTGCTGTGAATTAAGGCAGCCCTGGGGTTGCTCTTTGTTGTACTCATTGGGTTCTTGCTCAGCCCATAATTTGAGGCCCCAGTAATGACATCATGGACCCAATCTCCACCCCAGATTTACCGCCATCAAAGAAATCCCACAGATGCATTTTCAGCTGTCTGTGGAACCAAATATCTTGTTCTTTAAGACACCAGGTGGCCTGTAGCCAAGCTGCAGGACCTGCTTAAGCTGAGGTTCCTGGTCAAGTGATCAGAGGTGAAGCTGTTGTTTGTTAGAAGTAATGGGACTTTCCCTTTTCCCCTTTAAGGTTCAAGGCGGGGAAAAAAGAGATAAAACCTATCAAAAGTGAAAAAGGTAAATTTAAACAAAAAAATTAATACACCAACAGAGAATTAAAAATTTATTTAGCTTTGATTAAAGTAAATAGAAGAATTAGAATAAATGAAAGCTGCTTTTAATCCTTCTGTGAGCAAAAGGTATTTTAAAAGTCAATATTGAAACCACTATAGGAATTAATTTTTATTTAATAATTAAAAAAACAACCCAAAACCTCATTTAAATCAGTATTTAATTTGATGATTTTTTTTCAAAAGCATTTGAACATTCAGAATTAAGAGCCAATGCATTGAAGACTGAAGGAGCAGCGCTGTACAACACTGGAGGGGCATACCACCGTTACATTCCCTTCTGGGAGAACACTTTCATTGTGCAATGGTGCTTCAGCCTTGTGCTGTTTCTTTGCAGCACGATGTGGTGTTGTCCTTTAGGCAGACCTGCCTTGAGAACAAAGATCTCAAACTTGAAAAGACTCCAGAGAAAGGCCACAGATCTGCTATCTAGTTTACATCTTGGGGAACATCTCAAAAGCAAGTCAGAAATCTGAGCGGTGAAGAAGTCTGTTTGACACGCCGAGGAGACTGGCTGTGGTCCTCAAACCCAGATGCCCACCTGCCTGTCCAGGTGCTGGGGCCACTGCGCTGTTTGGGCAGCAGCTACTGAACATGGCAAATTATAACTGCTCTTTTGAGGTCTGAGGCATTAACTGTGATTTGCAGTTTGCAGTGTGGTGCATTGCTGTAAATAAATTATTTACTTATATGTAAATAAGGGATAGATACCACCCAGTCTGCCACCTTTGCGACAGGGACCGTATCTTGAGGTAAGGCAGTAGGAGCTGGGTGGTGTTTTTTTGCTCCACAGCTGATCTGGAGACATCCTTGGGCACTGAAGGACATATCCTCAGTGTCAGTTACGTATTAAAAAAAAAATGCAGCTAGCCATGCAGTGTGGCTTCTAAATCCCTGAAGATGGGTATGCTCCAAATCCTGACCATTTCACAAAGCGGTTTCAGTGGGAGTTGGGCTGCTAGCCATGTGGCGTGCTTTTGGGAATCTCGCATCATCCATCAGTTAACTGTAAAACCCAGTTGCCCCAAGCCTTCTGGAGACACTCCAAGCCTTCGGGGGACTTAATGAAATTTTGGCTGCTGTGGAGGCAAAATTTCCATCATTTTGGGTCTAGTTGAAAGTGCCTGTTGGGAAGCATTCGTTCTAACTTGTGCCGTCTGTCACTCAGGTTTTATGCTGCTGAAATCATATGCGGGCTCCAGTTCCTCCATTCCAAGGGCATAATATACAGGTAATTTTACTCTTCAGTGTCTAATATGCTAAACCTTTTCTGCTTTCCCTGCAAGCACTAATGGTAACTGAGAGACTGTTCCTTGGATGTACTTACTGGTATTGCATTTCTATGCAGATTTCCTTTTTACAGTTGGGTTTATTTTGAAGAGGTGGCGTAAAAAAGGCAGTTTTGAGCCCTTTTTGGGAACCCAGTCCTATTTCAGTTAACATTAAAACAAGCCCTCTGATGCATTTATACTGAGTCATTCATATAGCACCCAGCATAGGCACCCAGTTTAAGTTTTTCCAGTATGAAGGTATATAAAGTCAAGCTAGCCATGAGAAATTTGGTATATCTTCTGCGCTGGTTACCCTGGGACAGTGGTGACAAGCTCAGCTTGAGTAACAACAGCAGCGAGACAGTGATATACCTTATTTTTGGGGTTATTAACAGGCCTGTTGTACACAGTTCTGTGGGGAGATGGGATTCATCTCACCATCAGGAATATGAGCTGGCTGCCCACGCTCTTCTTATACTGAGTAAGGAAGAGTGGGCTTTTTCAGGTTCATCAAACCTGTGTTAGAGTGTGTATGAGAAGTGCCATTTCTACTGGTGGGCTCCACAGGGAGCTGATGGGGACTAAGTGGGACACTGCAGGCAGCTGCACTCAGACAGAAGAGTCCTCTCCCAAAGTTACTGGTATGAACTTAGTCTGCAATGCGTCAACCTGTCAAATCCTGAGAAGGAGAAGTCCTCTACTACAAAATTGCCCATTCCAGCTTCTGCTTGAGTTCCCTAGGAGCTTCAAAGTTATGCATGGATGCTTTGATCTAATCATAGAATCATAGAATGGTTTAGATTGGAAATGACCTTGAAGGTCATATAGTTCCAACTCCCCTGCCATAGGCAGGGACACCTCCCACTAGACCAGGTTCTTCAAAGCCCCATCCATGGAACTAGATGATCTTCAAGGTCCCTTCCAACCTAAACCATTCCATGATTCTATGAACTCTTTGAGTGCAACTATCCAGCCAGTTCCTTATCCACCGAGAGGTCCATCTGTCGAATCCATGTCTCTCCAATTTAGAGACCAGGATATCATGCAGGACAGTGTCAAATGCTTTGCACAAGTCCAGGTAGATGGTGTCAGTTGCTCTTCCCTTGTCTGCTACTGCTGTAACCCCCTCATAGAAGGCCACCAAATTTGTCAGGCATGACTAGCTCTTGGTGAAGCCATGTTGGCTGTCACCAGCCACCTCTTTTTCCATGTGCCTTAGCAGAGTTTCCAGGAGAATCTACTTCATGATCTTGCCGGGCACAGAGGTGAGACTGACTGGCCTGTAGTTCACCAGGTCTAGTGCACAAGTGGTGTGCTTCAGACCTATATGAAAGGACAGAGACAGGTTTGGAGCAAGAAGGGATGCAGAAATCAGGCCACAGCCTGCTTTCCCATGGCCAAAAGGAGGAACGGAATTTCTAGGGAACTCTAGTTCAGCTCCTCTTCATGGCAAAAATTAGTTACTATATTGCAGCCTTCTGTAAAAGCAGGAAGCAAATAGCTTGTCACAAACAAATGAGAAAGCTCACTAAAGCAATGATGTTTGCTGAAACGAAGATGAGCTTATTTCAATGTTTGTCATGTAGTGTGAACATTAGAACGAATGCTGAAAGTGAATGGCTTGTTTACAATCCACTCTCCCATTAAAACTCAAGCTTTGATTCATACAAACTCGCCTTATTATTCGTTATTAGTACTCATGTGGGAGCCACTTGTAGTCTTTATTGACCAATGATGGTGATTGCATAAACATGAGATCAATATCAAAGGCATTAAGCTAAGATGTTCTCTGGGGTCTCAGCAAGTTTCTGGCTCTAATTATTGTTGTGGATGACTGAAGGGAAACATTTTCTTAAGTGCCCAAATCTCTTAGCCATGTCTGTCATTTTTACTCAGACTTCTCAAAAAGGTTGACTGAAAATATCTGCAGGGCATTGTGAGTTTGGGGCAGGACTGCTAGCACTGACATTTTGTTCATAATTCACATTTTTATTTGAAATTGCTACACCTGTGTTGTGTCACGGTTTGGGACCTGTTTCCTCATGGAAGGAGAGAGATGTTCAGAGTTTGGAGCCTTGGGAAACACGGGCAAAGTGGGATAGCTAGACAGTGGGTAGCACGGTAATAGGAAGAAACAGCTCATTCCCAGGAATCAGTGCAGCATTCATTGCTTTGGGTATCAAGCTTTGAGAGAAAAGATTTAACCAGTCCTACTCCTTTTTCCTTTTTTCATCGAAGACAATGACAACAAGGTCAGTTGAGAATGCACAGCCTTCAGTATCTCAGTCAGAGCTAACTAAGCACTTAGGAAAGTGAATAGGAATCATTTTTGAAACTACTTTGCTTGAAATGTAGTAAGAATAATGAATCCAGCTGTTCTGTCTCATGTTCTCTCACCCACGTTTGGAAATGCTGGCTTAAATTTTAATGAATGAGCTGAGGCATTTTTGGCAGAAACTCCAATTCCTGGAGCCAATGAGTTTGAGACTCATCAAAATAATGAAAGTGAACTGTAGGTGATGGGTTTTTTGTTTTGCTTCGATCTACCAGATGAATAAAAGCAATGTTGGCAGCCAGAGATTGATCTCAATGGTGTAACTAAAGTAAGTCATTCCAGCTGGAAATTGTGACAACATGAGTGTCTGCCACTTGGAAGGCAAATGTCTCGGTTGTCTCTATTTCTTTTTGATTGATGACTCCCACTTTTTCTTGGGACATATTCTAGCAGCAACGAACAATTGCCCCATGACAACAATTTAGTGTGTAGACACTATGAGGTCTCCCACCCTGATTGAGACCTGGCCGAAGCAAGACAAGGAGCTTTGCACAGAGGGAGGCTGAACAACCGTCTTTCCTGAAATTGCAGGCAATCATCTCAGGAACATCATGCATTAGAAATTACATTCTTTGAGGGAGTCAAAGGCATTTCTAAAAAAAACCCACATTAAAGCAGTTCCAAGTGCAAGGTCCTGCACATGGTTTGGGGCAATCCCAAGCAGAAATACCGCCTGGGTGGAGAATGGATTGAGAACAGCTCTGAGGAGAGGGACTTGGAGGTGTTGGGTGATGAGAAGCTCAGCATGAGCCAGCAACGTGCACTCACAGCCAGAAAAGCTAACCACATCTTGGGCTGCATCACAAGAAGTGTGGCCAGCAGGTTGAGGGAGGTGATTCTGCTCCACTCTCATGAGACCCCACCTGGAGTACTGCATCCAGCTTTGGAGTCCTCAGCACAAGAAGGACATGGACCTGTTGGAGTGCATCTAGAGGAGGGACACAGAAATGATCAGAGGGCTGGAGCACCACTCCTATGAAGACAGGCTGAGAGAGTTGGGGTTGCTCAGCCTGGAGAAGCGAAGGCTCCGGGGGGACCTTATAGCCCCTTCCAGTCCCTAAAGAGGTTCCAGGAAAGACGGGGAGGGACTTTTGTCAGGGAGTGTAGTGATAGGACGAGGGGTAACAGTTTTAAACTGAAAGAGGGGAGGTTTAGATTAGATATTAGGAAGAAACTTTTCACTGTGGGGGTGGTGAGACACTGGAACATACTGCCCAGAGAAGTTGTGGATGTCCCATCCCTGGAAATGTTTAAGGGCAGGCTGGATGGGGCTTTGAGCAACCTGGTCTGGTGGGAGGTGTCCCTGCCCATGGCAGGGGGGGTGGAACTCTATGATCTTCAAGGTCCCTTCCAACCTAAACCATTCCATGATTCTATGATTCTCACTAGTAGGGCAGCCTCATATTTAGGACTATTGCCTGAGATGTGGAAAATATGCATAGGCTGTGAATCAGCAGAGGGTGAAAAAGACCAATTGTATTCTCAGCTCTGGGCAAAAGCAAATGTTGTGTCTGGGAATTTTGGAAGCCCTGAGAAGCAGCAGTGATTGATAGCACAAGATAGGCAGTGCAGGAACGTGGGTACTCTGAGACCAAGTAAACCAAATTCTACCTACATCCCAGGTGAGGTGCAACATCACTGATCCAAACATTTCCCTGAGTCATTATTTCAATGAAAAGCAAAACTTCTAGGTAAGACATAAAAAAATTAACATAGAATCCATGCCAGCTTTCCTTTCTTTCTGCTTTTTTCTTTCTTTCTTTACATGCTTTTTTCTGCTTTCAGTGGTTGTTCCCACGTGAAGACCTCTTTGTTCTCTGTCAATGGCCATGGTTCATCAGTTCACTTGCATTTATTTCTTTCTCTGTGCATTTCTTTTTTTTTCTCTCTCTGGGCTTTTTGCTTCCCACTGTACCTCAGAGCTTAAAACCTCGGACAACACCTTGGCTGCTATGTGTGAAGGACTTTGTAAATCCCCAGGGCTCAGATAGTCCAGCCCAGCAGTGAAAGGTGGTGGGTATTCTGCTGATGTCTGGGATTATTCTGACCTTCTGCAAGCCATGCAGGGCTTGAGGGCCCTTACTTCTTCCAACATTGGAAGAGTCTGCACTGGGAGGAAGATTTGACAGCAACTTCAGTCAGAGGACTGAGATTTCCAGGGGAGGAGAAAGTGATCATTAGCTGGTCCCTTCTTGCTCACCTTCTCCAAGCTGTTAGGGCAGAAGCATCAGCTGGCACAAAGCCCTTTTTAGCTTCCCTGTTCTGCATCCTCAAAGGAGGAAGCTTTTAGAAGATCATGGAATAGAATCATAGAATTTTCTAGGTTGGAAGGGACCTTTAAGAACATCAAGTCCAACCATCAACTTAACACTGCCAAAACCACCACTAAACCATGTCCCTAAGCACCACCTCTACCCATCTTTTAACTACCTCCAGGGATGGCATCTCCACCGCTTCCCTGGGCAGCCTGTTCCAATGCTTAACAACCCTTTCTGTGAAGAACTTTTTCCTAATATCCAATCTAAACCTCCCCTGGTGTAACTTGAGGCCATTTCCCCTTGTCCTATTGGCTATTACTAGTGAGAAGAGGTCAGCCCCCACCTCTTTACAGCCTCCTTTCAGGTAGTTGTAGAGATGTCTTGGGTAAAGTCTTCTCCAACTGGGACAGGAGGAATGAAGAAGAGGGATAATGAAGTCCAAGAGAACAGCTCCTCATTCAGCCGCAGCCTTCCTTTGTAGGCACATGTAAGCACTACACAGAGGCAGATAGCAAGTTAATAAATGTGACCTGCTGAAAGAACTTGTATGGCTCTGTAACACTTTAAAGGAGGGGGTTCCTTCTCTTCCTCCACAGAGACTTGAAGCTAGACAACGTTCTCTTGGACAATGAGGGGCACATCAAAATTGCTGACTTTGGGATGTGCAAGGAGAACATGTTTGGAGATGCGAAGACAAGTACTTTCTGTGGGACTCCTGACTATATCGCTCCTGAGGTAGGTGTGGGATCCAGGGAGATCAGCAAGCTGCTGTGGGACAAAGAACATGTCTTATGACATGACTGTCAGTCAGTGGTGGAGGCTGCAAAGCGTAATAACCTGCTTTTGAGCAGTTCCAGGCTAGAAACTGGATTTCAGTTTGATTCAGAATCTGTATTGCTGTCTGGCATTGCATATTTTGTGGCTAATTAATTTTTTGGTGCAAGTGGGCCTGGGAAGCAAGTGGTGCTTGTCTTAATCAGGAAACAGAATTCTTAACAGAAACTCAGTTTGGGCCATGGCAGAGGAAGCTCCAAGAGGTAGGTCCTGCAATACAGGGATAGAAACAACATGACGAAAGGGAAGCATGTTCCCTAGGTAGGTAACCCTAGGCTTCCATGGCTGTACGGGCTTCTTGATAGCTGGTAAGGAGCTACAGGCACTTCTAAGGGATGATGTTCATCACAACCTAATAGAGGAAATAGAGAAGGGTGGGACAAATTGCTGACCTGGAAGTGATTCTCTCTCCTCATTGATTAACCACCTTTCAGACAGAGCAGAGAGTCTGGGTCCACAATAAAGCAGTGAATGGGGTTCACCTTCCCTCTGGGATATTCTCTGATGTTTGAATAGGGATGGCACCCATAAGCTTCAACTTCTGTCTTACTCAGACAGGTTCTTAGCTGGCTGCAAACACAGCCTGCATCACGAGCATCCTCCCAGAGTTGAATAAGGCACTATATGCTCTGCAAAGACTCTGCCATCAGAGACACAACCTGAAAACCGAGCACAGGCTTGAAGGTCCATCTAGATCTAAAAAACTGCCGACAGCTGCTTGTAAAAGGGATGGAAATGCTTGGAGACATAAACATGAGAGTGGTCATACATCCTGATTTTTCCCCCTCTAAATGCCAGCAGTCAGAGGAGAGGTTGCTGTCTGGAGGACAACTGGGACAGAACCTGCTAACTCTGGGCTCTGGACTACCTGTGTCTCTGCTTTGGCTGTGCATGGTGCCATGACCTCATGTCACTGCATGAGTCCATCCCTGGAGGACATGCCTCCACATGTTGCCTCCTGGTGAAGGAGGCTCTAAAACTAGAGATGATGGAGTTGTACAGGGCCAGACTGTGCTTGAGCTTACAAGGGCAAGGCAGAGCTTGTAGCTTGTGTTAAGGTCCTGCTCCATCCCCTTGACTCAGGAAGGCTGGGGCTTGCATGGAGACAGTCTCCAAGCTCCGTGCAAAAACTTACCAACTACTCCTTCTGCAGTTGATATCTACTGATACTTGATGGAGAAAAACTGAACCTGGCCTCAATGTGCCCATGCAATAAAACTGGGTGGTCACAGACACCAGACTCCAGTTTGCCCATAGCAAGATCCTTTGCCCTTCCCATTATTTCTTTGCATTTTTTCTCAGGCAGAAGCTTCTTTCTTCCCCTCCCCCCAATAAATTTAGATATGTTGGACTAGATCCCTCCAGAAAAGAGAAAGCTCCCTTAACCTGGTGATTTCACACAATGATAGATTTTACTATGGAGGGGCTTTGACTAATTAGGTGGCAAATTGGGGCCAAAGAAAACATTTTTCAGCTCAGAGAAGAACCTACAAGTCATCCATGCATCATGTCCCACTTCACTCTGAAATCCATTTATTTGCCTTTCAAGATCCTATTTCCTGATTTTAGTGTTTTCATGATGGATATTGGTAATTTCCAAATAGCTTTTAAAGCATTTGATTTTTCCCCCTCCACTATAATTCATTGATCTTTTACTGTGCTCCAAGGGCTCGATTCTCATCTCCGTTACACCACTGCTGACACAAGGGCTGGTCTCTTCAAATCAATTGGATTTGTATTGCCTAAGAGCAAGTGTAAGTGCGCTCTGCAGTCAAGCTGCAATTGTCTTTTATTCCACTTCAATATGCTTTTATTAAAAAAAAAAAAAAGCTATTGTCTGATCCTAAAAAAAAGAGAGCCAAGCGATAATCCATTATCTGTGATTTTACTTCATAGAAAAGAGACAGACTAAAATAGCTCAGAGTTTTATTTCTGCACCATCATTTATTTTAGAGATTCAATGAGTGCATATAAAACGCTTTACCTCTAAATTGAAAGCACTGCTAGAGTTTATGGATCATCTCTCCCGCCAGAATCAGGAGTACTGGACTTTATATCAGTATTTCAGTGCAGCTGCTAGCACTGTAATTTGTTACAGACCCAGCGCCTTGGCTACAGCCAGGCAAATAAGGGGGCTTGGGGTCAATATACTAGCAATTTTTTAGTTTCAGAAAATATTTGACACAAAAAGAAGAAAAGAAAAAAAAAAAAAAAGAAAAAGAAAAAGACTTAACCTGAAATGAAATTGCTGAGTTTATTTATTTTTTTCAGAGAATTGCAAAGCTAATAAATCTTTTCTTTGACTGCCATAAAACATTTACTTTCAATTTCCAGTCATTGTATACTTTAAAAGGTAAAGCTTTATAAAAATAATGTGTCTTTTCAGAAGGAAAGGTTGGGATGATTTTGCTTATAAGTGATCCAGTAGAAATATATTAGTGAATCTTACTGATTCCATTTTTTTGGCTTTGAGTGAAACACATTGTATACATTGTTTCTTATATTTAAATTGCTTTTTTTGTCCTTTTTTAGTCTGTTTTTTTGATGTTTTTGGAGACAGATGTGTCAGTCATGAGCACTCTATATCAGCTTGGGTTGAGACTTCTGATATTAAGGTCACTTGTTGCTAGATGGCACAGGTACATCAGAGAGGGATACTTCTCACCTAATGTGAGAAAATTCATCTAAAAATGAAGTATTAAATGGCACTTTATAGTGTTGCAGAAGGACAAGCATCCCAGGAGACAAGTCATCCCTTCCTATCTTCAATGTGTAAGTCAGTTAAATCACCATTTTCCCTCCATTGACTATAGAGAGACTCTGGACAACTAAATTAATAAGACACATAACTTTTAGGCAATAAGATCTGGCCCCAAGTGGCAATTTACAAGCAATGAAGACAAGGTATGAAAACAGTCAAGAAATTACTCACCTACTTCCACTGTACCACAGAGCCAGCAGTAAAGATTACCTCTCTAAATCATAATTTTTCAACTATCAGCAGTTTCATACGTACTGATCTAGATAGTTGTTTTCACTGCTATTAAGCCATCTCCAGGGCTTGTCATTGATACCTACACCGTAGCTATAGAATAGGGAATGACATTGCAAACAAGCTGTGGGCTCAAGAGTAAAGATTGTGCCTTTAAATGAAATATTCCCCTCTCCAACTCTAAAATCCTGATAAGGATCCTAGATATCATAGTCATCAGACGTACTTTAGACATCTGCAAAGTAAATATATATGAGCTGGTTGTCCAGGCTCATTGACAACCAAAGATGACAAATAGGGAGTAGTATTTCACCGTAGGTGGATATTTAGCTGGATGTCTAAAAGTGGACTAATTCTTTTCCTTGACTATAAAAGAAGCTAATGATAACTGGTTCAGCTCTAGGTATCTCTATAACAGATATCTAAAGGCAGGTGAGATTAATTTTGCTTCCCCAGAGGGGAAGTTTGAGAACTTGATGGTGTCTGGCCAAATTTGTACGGGAAGAAAATGCCACATCCCTTCTTAGGGGAGGTCATCACTCCAGTGGACCGCCTCCAGCCCCTAAACACTGGATGTAGCCTTCACTTTAAAGCTGACACAGAAAGGCACAAACCAATGGACTGACTGAGGACAAATTCCCGTTCGTCTGCCTATAACTCAGTTGGTCTCAAGAGGACAGATCAGCAACTGCTTTCTCATGGTTTTCCTGGGACAGATTTTGCTAGGAGAGATTCACACCATTTCTACTGAATGATAGTCCTAAAGTACCCTTACACTGCCACACTGGAATTTTTTAAAATACAGCTTGTGTGAGTTAAATCAGTCTCAAAATGTTAATGCCTAACCGTTTGTCTTCTTGGACTTCACAAGCCTGGTTTGAACCGTTGGGATAACTCAGAGAGCAGAAAAAAGATGACTTGCCTCCCTTTTTATGTTTGTGATCTCTCTGGAAGCCCAGGATTTGTTAAAGTAACTGAAAGGTTTCATGCAACCTGTTAGCTGTAGCTTGAAGGATTGTTTTGGCATCCAGGTGTGCCTGTGACTTGGAGCTCTTGGTAAGCACCTCTGCTATCCCACTCAGTGCAAAGCAGCAGTTGAAAGGTCAGGGTCTGGCCACCCTTCTGAAGTTGAAATACTCATGTCAGATATTTTGCATCTGTCTTTGTCACTCCTCCCTTTGGGCAGATATTGCTGGGGCAGAAGTACAACACGTCCGTTGACTGGTGGTCCTTTGGTGTCCTCCTGTATGAGATGCTTATTGGCCAATCTCCTTTCCACGGCCAAGATGAAGAGGAGCTTTTCCAGTCTATCCGTATGGATAACCCGTTCTACCCTCGCTGGCTTGACAAGGATGCAAAGGACATTTTGGTGAAGGTAAGAATTACCACACATCAAATGAAAGTCTTTTTGCAGGAACTGTCATCTTTGATTTGTGCATCTTCAGCTATTGTTCAGAGAAACAAATTTAATGTGTTAGGACCAGAAGGAGTCACTTTCTTGTCTGTGGACCGCAAAGCACACCTGACCTAAGTCATAAGGCCATCTTTGTGTCTTCTTTCTCCTGAGCTTCCATGATGGCTCCTCACGTTCATTAAGTAGGATTGCAGGGTATCAGATACCAGGAGAGATCAGTTTGTTTGCAGAGCAATCCTTTAGATGCAAGGCATGTTAACTCCTGGAAAAGATATTCTGCCACGCTTCAAACTAAGGGTTACAGTGGCTTCCATGGAAATTATGGGTTTGAAGCAGTTCTTGTGCCTCTGAGGTATGAGGACATCTGGGGTAGATTGCTTTGGTGTTCAGCTTGGTTTTCATGAGAGAATATTTTACATCTTTGCACTGAGCTAAAGAGCAGGTTAAGAAAGCCTGAGTGGCTTTCCAGAAGTGGCAGAGCCCGCTGAAGCTAGTAGCACTGTGTCATCTGGATTTTTGGTCCTTTTAATCTCCAACACAGCAATGCATAGTGTCCTTTGTGAGTGGAACACTCTTCTGTTTCCCATCTTTTAGGTTCCCTTCCATCAATACACCATTTTTTTCATAGTCTCCTTCTCAGCCCCATGCCGTTTAGCATTGCAGCATTTCTGGTTTGGGATGCAAATTATTCTAGAGTTGCAAGGTAGAAATGCAATGAAGTCACAACAAGTCTATCAAGCTACCTCCCCACAGTTGGGCTTTGGACTGACATTGATCCCTACCTTGACTTTTGCATTTACAAAGCGACAAGACAACATTCAGCATTTCAGTACAAAAAATGGAGAACAGATTATTTTAGCATCTGTGCTGTGCGCAACAGGGCCCAGATGTTTAGCTATCACTATAAAATGATAATAATGAAAGCAATCAAAAGCAGTTGTTCAGGAAGACGTACCATAACAGAGTGAGATTTTGAATGTCTATTTCTGGGACATATGCTGCCATCTTTCCGCACAAACAACCCATCCTTCTGTCAGGATTAGAGATAGTAATCATCTTTATACCAATCAATAATCTTCCTAGCTTAGGAAAAAAAAAAAAAAAAAAAAACATTTTCTCCATTGTGGGCCATTCTCATTGCCACTGACTCTGGATAATTACATATTCCACCCTGCTCAATGCCTGTATGATCAGCACAGAAGTTAACCTACGGAATCTGCTGTGCAAACAGCTGTCTGTAGGACACCTCTGTTTTGGTGAGGCTGTGCCCGCAATGTTCACCAAAACCCAATGCCTGGGGTTTTTTCAAACAGGTCCTCAATGGTCCATACATCGGGTTCTTTTGCTGCCACTTTTGGCATTAGATATTTCTATTTGTTGTTTGCTGATTGGTACCTATTGTATGCTTGCTGTTGGCCAAATAGAGTAGCAAGGAACTTCTACTGTATGTAACCCAAGTCCATTTTGAGATGACCTCCAAAGGTGAAATGCTTTTGAAAATTGGTCTTTATATATGTAGGACATATTGGCTGCATTCGGGACACCTGCTGGTATTGCCACTATGCCTTTTCATTGACTTTAGAGGGATCTAATATCTGGTTCTCTATGGGCAATCTGGCCTGGAGGCCCCAGACATTTTACTGCAGATATAAAGATAAATTTTAAACTATTCACATCCACCATTACAGCAATGCTTCAGCACTACTCCATGCTCCCAAACATTGAGTGGAGCTCTGAAGCATTTAGCGCTCCTGAAACTCTCCCCCAGAAACACTTCAGCTGCTTCCAGAGACATATGGCTCCTGCATCAGCATAAAAACATCCATGACGAAACAGGCTATGTTTATACAAAACTGAAGAGTGGTCTTAGACCTTCACATAGCTGATGGTGAGAAGATATGCCCCCAGTTCTAGCTTTTTCCTACCTTCAATGGAATAGTCATTCACAGGACTTGCAGCCTGCAGTGTGCAGCAAACACAAGCTATCTGAATTGGGAGTCTTTTGACAAAGTAGATGGTTGTCCACATCTGAGCTAGTCAGTGGAGAGAAGCAAGCACTTCCAGGGTGTCTTTTATCTCATCTTCAAATATGTAAAGCTAGTCAGATTATTTGCACCTAAGGTGTCTGGTTTTCTCCATTAATTATAAAGGGTCAAATACTGACACTTCAATTGTCCAAAGGTATAGGAGACAAATACAACCCCACATAGGCCAGGCTAGTATTTTCACAAATTATGCTTATATTTCAATCTTAAAAAAACCCTCCTGATTACAAGAAATTGTCCGTATGGCTTGGAAGTGCGATCCAGATATTTCACCTGTGCATATTTGCATTCTCAAACACATATGTTGTTGCTGCTATAGCAAATTTGCCCGCTGTCTCCTGCAAAGGAAAAATATGGCCAAGGTCTCTCAGGTTTGGCATATTTGGCTAAGAATCCAACCTGGTTCCCTCGTCAGAAATTTAGTAAGTTAGAAGAGTCTTCACACTCTCACCAACCATGCTTGTGTTTGAAGTCTGAGACGCTATCTGATAGGACTGTCCTAATGAATATACGATTATTGATAAAAGACTAAGGTATTTATCTTTCTTCAATGTTTTAGCTTTTTGTGAGAGAACCTGAGAGGAGACTGGGAGCAAGAGGGAACATCCGCCAGCATGCCTTTTTCCGGGAAATAAACTGGGAGGCTTTAGAAGAAAGAAGGATGGAGCCTCCTTTCAAACCAAGAGTGGTAAGGATGCATTTTCTTTCATTTCCACCCATCTCATGTCTGTCTTTCCTGAATCATTCATTCCACAAATATTTAAACCCTCCAGAACATGCTATCAATAAACCAAAGCCAGTACTCACAGTAACGTTAGAAACCCATTTGTTTAGGGGCACTGACCAAACTCTTCAGGTATGGGTCTTTAATATCAGAGACCTCAAAGCCTGTTTAGGTACACGGAGTCAGCATTTTAAAGGTGGATAAATGTCTTCTTCACGCTGGAACTAACAGGTTTAGGCACCAAGTTAAGGCTTTCAAAATGCCCTCAAATTTTCAAGGTTATCTTCTGGAGTTGCTCTGCACATGCAGCCTCTCTGTCTAAAAGCAGAAACCATCTACAGTTTGGATCTGCCACAGTGTCTGGTCATTAGGAAGATAATCATGAACTATGCACCTCTCTTGGCTGGGGTGCCTGGCCTGGTCATCATGACTACTCCTTTCTGATGGCTATAAGCCCAGGTCTGGCATGCCCACACCTAAGAAACCATAAATTACTCATCACTTTCTTGGTTACCATAGGAGGGGTCTGAATGGCAATTAAAACACATTCCCTTAACCACATAAGCGCAACCTATTCTGTAGTGCTTATCTTCCATTGCACTGCAGAATGTAAGGAAGGAAAAGCAGTTCAGGTAACCAGGTGGTCGGCTAAATCAGGATGGTCCTGACTGTTCGTAACAGTCCTATTAAACTATTAAAATCCTATTAATAACAATAATATAATTTAATTTGACAAGTGCATCATACTTTCATTTTATAGTCCTTCACAAGTGCTGTTTAATTGGTGAGTCCAGTCCACTGTGTTAGAAAACTGTAACATCCCTGCCTGGCAGAATTCACAGATCACAGGCTCAGTGCCTCCTATATAATATTTATTCCCATTACTATTTTAATAGGATGGTAATAAGCAAGTGATTAGCACTGATTGCTGGATATTAAGATCTCAGACAGAAGTTCACTGCAGTTTGGCATGTTACTGTGCATCATTTGGGCTGGAGTAAGTAATCTCACAAGTGGTTTCTTCTCACAAGTTACAACCGATAAGACAAGATGAAATGGCCTCAAGTTGAGCCAAGGGAGGTTTAGGTTAGACATTAGGAAAAACTTCTACACTTAAAGGGTTGTCAAAGGCTGCAACAGGCTGCCCAGGGAAGTGGTTGAATCACCATCATTGGATGTATTTAAAAGTCATCTAGGTATGGTGCTCAGGGACATGGTTTAGAAGTGGGCCTGGTAGAGTTAGATAACGGTTGGACTTGATGATCTTAAAGGTCTTTTCCAGCCATAACAATTCTATGATTCTATCGTTGTGCAAAAGGCCAAGAGCAAATGCTCATCCCTGGCTGAGCTGAGCTTGCTCTCAACTGGTTGACCTGAGCCCGTAGGAAGCAGCCTGATAGGGTTGGTACCATTGCAATGAAGATCTGAATATGAGTGCTTTGACATATTATTTTTTTTTTCCTTTTCTTGAAGAAATCGCCGAGTGACTGTAGCAACTTCGACAAGGAATTTCTAAACGAAAAGCCTAGACTGTCCTGTGCCGACAGAGCACTGATTAACAGCATGGACCAAAATATGTTCAGCAACTTTTCTTTTGTGAACCCTAAAATGGAGAAAATATTTTCCTGAGATCTGCCTTATTGAAGGAATTCTCTGGAATAGTTTGAGTAACACTTTGTCTGAAGACTGTTCATAGTAATGTTTATCAAGAACCCTCCGGAAAACCACCTCAGTGAAAGTTTGTACCATACCTGGTTTCTCTGTAAGAAAAAACAAGTATATTTGAGCTTCTGGCGATGTCAGTGCCCATTTCTGCAAGTCTCACCTAGGCCCACCTCCTTCTGAAGGACAAGTGGTTTGCTCAAGGCCTGAGGGCATCTGGGAAGACTTCAGGCTGGATGCTTTGGTAACCTCCACTTGTACATGTGCAGAATTGTGCATGTGTGCACAAAGGTTTTGAAGAAGCAATTTAACTCCCTACACACTTCAAAAATAATGTCCACAGGTGTTAGGATTCAATTTTGCTCCAATGGGTCAAAGACATTTTGCAGGTGCCCATTCCAGCGTTCCTAGATCTCAGTCAGAAGCGCTGGAGCTGAGGACTCAGCCCGAAGGAGGATCGCTGCCATGGCAAGTGCCAAGATCAATACAGAAAACCGATGGTTTACAGTTAGTACTTGAGCAGGAAGGATGGGAAGTTGCAGTCCAGCAGAAATCCTGGAGAACCCCTGTTCTAAAGCTTTAACTGTCCTTGCACACACCAGGCTCAGAGCAAGATGTGAACTGGGCTTTTTGGAGTTTTAGCCTAAAACTGCATGAGAAAGGTGGAAGAGGTTTCCTCCAGCTGTTGTTTAAGCGCCATCAAATTGGCCTTCCAGTCACAGCACTGGCATATTTTACTTGAAAGGTGGTAATCAGCCCCTGCAAAGGCTGATATACTTTGTATTGCTTTAAATGATGTTCCAGCTCTTTGGCATGCATGGTGGACAGAGGTCAACAAGCTGCACCCAACAGTCACAGGGCAGGACAGCACATCGGGTGAGGGTGGTACTCTCCTTCACCTCATGACATTTTGCGTGTGTGTGTTCTATCCCTTTGCAGTCTGTGGAAATGCAGACGGGTTTAAAAAAGGTCTTTTCTGGGATCCTTTAATCATGGGATCCTTTTAAATAAAGATGTACTGTTTTCTGAGGTTGCAGAGATGTACAACCACCCAGTTACTGCTTGTCACTGGGATACCAGTTAACTACTGGGTCAAAATTAAGTCAAAGCCCAAAAAGAGGATTCTGGAATCGCTTAGACTTAGGCAGTCACCCAAGTTGGTGTTAGGCTCTAATTGAAGTGTGTACATTTGGAGCTTTGTTGCATTGACCCCTGCAGTCCATGGAGAAGGTCTAGAAGGTGAGTCATCCCAAAATCAGATTCCCTTCAGAGGTGCCTTTCTGGCTCTGCTGGACCAGGTTTTCAACTTGGACCTCTCACCAGGACGAATGCAGCCTTGCAGGCAGTGCTGGGGTATCGCTGGCAGGGACTGCAGGCACCGAATCCTGCAGGACCAAGAGCAGAAGTGCCTAATGTCGACAAGAAAAGCAGAGCGCCCTGAAAAAGGTTTCAGTCCAGTGACTCTCATGAAATCCTTGTTTGTGCTGTGTGAAACGCAGGGGGCATCTGTGCTCACAGTTTGTGCAGCTGGTCATCATGTTTATTTAGAACGGTTAACATGAATTTTTTAAATGCCAGTGCTGTTTGTACAGTTTAATAAAATGTTGTGTATAATTGGAAAACAGGCATTGAAGTGATTAAATAGGGACGAAGAACGGAGGTGCTTAGAAAATCCATTAAAATGTCTCTGTGCTTTCAGGGGGATGTTCCCCAGGGGAATTTCAACCCATAAATACATGGGATCATCAAGCATTTGCACAACTGTAACTACTCCACAGATCAGTATCTTTAAAAAAAAGGATTTGGCACTGTGCAAAGGTATCCAAGAAGAGAGTAAAATGTTCCTTTTCACTACTAGAAGGTGATGCAGCTGTAAATGGGGTCTGGTATCTCAAAGGGGTTGCAGAGCCAGATGTGCAGGGATCGTTACTATTAGAGGGCAATTTAGGCCACCTTCCTTTGACACCTGAATGAGGTTGGGATGGATCACCTCAGTCCTGGAAGGGCCTGATTCTGGCGACATGCTATAGATGGAGCCTGGGTGGCCTGACCCAGACTGGAGATTGCACTTCTAAGCATCTGAAGTTTGACAGTATCCCACTCTAAATGACTGTCTGGGATGTTTTCTTTGCAATGGCACAGTGGTTTCTGCTCGACACCAATGCAGGGACACCCCAAGAGTGTAGACTAAGGAAGCAGGGTGCTGAATCACCTCTTGTGGTTAAGTAACTGAAGAACAACAGGGTTTAACACCTCTCTGACCAGAGGCAGAGCTCTCTGCACTCCAGCTGTGGTCCTGTATACCTAAAGCAGCCAAACGGAAGAGTAACTGCTAGAGCAGACAGGGTGTTAGGTTTACTGTAGGGCTTTTAATGCAAACCACAAGAAGTGCCTGTTTCTCTCTGCAAGATGTCTTCAGCTCAAAAACCAAAGAAACCCATGGAAGATAGGGGGGAAGGAGATGGGGAGAGGTAGGTATGAGACACCATGAACGTGTGTGCCATGTGTCTCACTGGTGCCACAGCCTGAAATCCCCCCCCAGCTGTGCCTGTGGTTTGCAAGGAGTGACGTGGTAAGCAGCAAGCGTTTTCCTGTTGTGGCAGCGATTGAGAGATAGGAGCCAGTGAGGGCTGAAAGCCAAACACCCGCACAGAAATGAGCAGGAGCACAGGTACTCACAGAGATGCTGCTTTGCCGTGGCTAAACCTGGTACCTCCATACCCATCTTGTCTTTTTTTCTTTCTTTTATTTCCCCCCCCCCTTCTGTCCTCCTCCACAAAATGTTCATTTTATGACATAGTAGATGTGGCTCATCAGGTTTGGTTATTCATTCGCTGAAGGCCCAATCCTGTTCTGGAGCCTCATGGGATCACAGCACTACTGCAGAACCATGACACCTGCAAACATCAGGGTCTGACCTCCAGCACCACCTGCTTCAGCTCCAGTTTTGGGACTCCTCACCACCCAACTGCTCCTTCCACAGTCTTGTTGCTTCACTTGAGAGGTACACAAATTCCTACTTGTTGGCATTCACCAAACCAAACCTCAGGCTGATAAATGGGTGAGGATGAGTGCGAGTCACCAGTGAGCGACAGCCCTCATTTCAACCCTCCTGCAAAGACTTCCAAGTTACTTTCCAGAGGAGGTTGGTTGGTCTCACAGCTCCTCAGCGTGCAGCCCAGCAGTATGGTTGCCTCTCCCACAGGGAAGACCAAGCTCCATCCTGCACCTCACCATCCTCTTTGCTGCCCATGCAGAAAGGCAAGGCAACTTTGCCCGGTGTTTACCAGGCACATCTTGCAGTGGAGAGGTATCACCAAAAGTCCCTGTCTGCCAGTAGAGCTTCAAACAGTGGGTACTGCAAGTAGGTCTGCTCCTCCCTTTACTATTGTATTTGTACCTTAGACACTTAAAACCCAAGCAAGAGATCACAGCTGGGACCTAAACTGCTCTCTCACCCCAAGAGATGACAGCTCAGCCTGGTGTATCACCTACAGCACCGAAGATCATCATCAATATGTGACCCAAAGTGTGCCTTGCAGTGTTGTGAAGCCAGTGGAGATCTCAGTGCAGACCATAGGAAGCTTTTCTACCTTCCTCACTTATAAAGAATTTTTATCTCTTCTGTATTACAGCAGCCAAGACAGTGCATGCAGAGCTGGTGAAATACAGGAATTAACGTATTTCTGGCTCAGAGCTCTGTTGTGGCACCTTGGTTTGGTAACTAGAGCTAACAGTCAAAGGGTTGATCCACCTCACTGTCCACCCAGCTAGTTTAGGCTTCATCAGTTTGTCTATAAGATTGTTACAGACTATATTGAAAGCTTTGCTAAAATCAAGATAAACAGCATCAACTGCTCTCCCCTCTTTCACCAAGCTAATAATTTCATTGTAGAATGCTTTCATGCAGGTTGGTCAGACATGATAATCCCTTCATAAATCCATGCTGACTACTCCTAATCACCTTCTTACCCATAACAAGTTTGGAAATTGCTTCCCAGAGGATTTTCTCCATCAGCTTCTGAGGAATGGATGTGAGGCTTAACAGCCTGTAGACCCCTTAAGCCTCCTTCTTGCCCTCCTTGAAGACAAGAATGACATTTGCTTTGTCTATTCTGCACTCCGATTGAAGACCCAGCTCGTGATATAGGTCTTGATCACTTCAAAAGAAAAAGCTCCTGCATGTCTGTCTATGTGGCCGGGTATAACCCAGTTGTAATCTGCCTGCAGTTTATCTTAGAAAGCCCCAGCCATTAAGCCACAGACATTTCCCACAGTCCATTGCCATAAAGAAGCTGAAGCCCTTTTAGGACTATTTGGGAACATCCTGGGACAGCCACTGGTGGGTTGGGATCTAGCAAGGCTCTGCACATATGTGCCTTGCCTGAACAGAGCCTGGGTCCATGCTAACACAGTGGGTGTGCTTGGGCTCTCCAGCTTCACGCAGCTCGACCTGCAACTGTACCCAAGGGTGGATGCACCGGTCTTTAAAGCCACCCAGGACCCAAGGTAACTGATATGTAGCACCCCAGAGTATGGTCAATCACTTAGCCTGAGATTCCTCATCAAAGCAATGATGTTGCCTCAAATCTCAAGTGGGTTGGAAATTTGGCTAAATAACTTCAGTGTCATAGGGGACGCTCAGTTAAGATGAAGCTACAGGAATGCTTAAGGGCACATTCTCATTCTACATTTTTACATGTTAGATTAAAAAACCTTAATCTCTGTTCCAAGAGGCAACAGGATTCTGCCTGTCTGGGATCCAGCTGCCACTCAACCCATGATGCTCCACTGCCTAAAGAAAAACCTGCCAGTATACAGCAGCTGGAGACTGAATCATTATTTTAATAATCACCTAGAGGAAAACATACTGTTTGAGTGGAGAGAAAATAAAAATTAAGCATCACATTTAATTTACGATGTGACCCTTTATTTTAAAGGAATACAAACAGAAAATATTCAGACATCAAAGGAAGAATCTCATCTTTCACTTCTAAATTCTTTTTTCTTATTGTTGTTAGCCTCCCGGTAGCAAAGGAAATGAGTTCTCCAGTAATCATTTCCATTTAATTTTCAGCTCCTTTCTGTTGAT